CCCCTTATGCCATTTTGGCCTTCCATGGGGCCAAAATGACACTAGATGTAATTCTATCAAATTTACACTTGGACAGCCAAGATGCATTTCCCCCCTGATCTGGCCTAGTTGAGGGGGCCAAAACAGTACTGATAGACCCATACCAAAATGGCTTCTGTSGAGCCAAAATGGCATTTTGTTCTATTTTGGCCCTAGCCTGGGCTAAAATAGCACTACTTTGAAAAAGCCAAAATGGCTCTCTGGGGCCAAATTGGTCCTCTCAAATTTACTGTGAAGCACGCCCGCAAACATGGAGAAACACTCAGCATCAATGAAATTCAATATGGTGGCTCTCCCAGCCAACAACTTTGTTATGGCACCTTGCTAAATGTGTCGAAAGTTTGACGTAAAGCGCCTGGCTTTGAACTGCAGTTTGAAGTTTACAGTACACCTAGCAAGACCGTCGTGCTGAAGGTCTCTATTCCAGGCAAATTAAACTCGAGTTGCAATCAAAACATATACTTACGAATGGTTATAGCTTGGTTTTCTTTTTTCCTTTGGATATTCGGCTTCAGGAAAGTCAAACGGTGCTATCACTGAGAGAGTATGCAACTGTGCTTCTAAGCCTATATCAAGCAGCTCTATACATCCTCTTGTTTTGTTTAGATAGGTGATCAAACTTACCATCACGACCACCACGTTCAGAAGTGTTAACATAACGAACAGGGACACTGAACATGTCGTAACTTGTTCCTTAATCAATTATTTAACAAGTAGGATAATTTCTTAATTTGTTTAAAAGCATTATTTGGTTACCTATTAGAAGAGCTAAACTGAATACAACAAGATTCAACTGTCTTCATAGTGTCATTTAAGCAATCAGCTTGGTATGTTTGAAGCTGTCGCTGTGGAAAGACCCTCATTTCAAGAGCCTTGTTAAGATAAAACAGGAATCCTCATTTCTTTCTTTCTAATTTTTTTCTTTTCTTCCTTACTCAATAGCCAAATCGTAGGCTATGGGAAACCTCGGGGAACGCAAGCCTAAATCTTGCGACCAGATCACCAGATCACCAGAGCACAAGCTCAGCTAGTCAGTCTTTGCTACCGTTATATGCATAATAACTAAGTAGCGTTGTAAACATTCACTGAGCGCTGAAAACAGTTTTGAGTTAAAAATGCCTCAAAATAGCATGAGAGCTACAAATACAGTTACAAATATTATTATGAAAATAAATATACAAGAAATAATTAAKTTTTACTTTCACTTTAAATAAAAAATTCCGTTATTTAAATATCTCTCCAGATATTGCTTTTGCCTTGAGTAGCTTGATCATAAGGTCACAGTGTTTCCAGACTCGAATTTCTTTTCTAAGCGACTTCTCAAAAGATATTCTCCATTTAGTGATGTAGTATTCAATATTCTTTTGTCTATCCTAAGAAGTGTAGGCCTTATGGGAATATTTTTGTGAAAGAATTTAGAAGGTTTCAAATATGGAGCCCTTGCAWWKATTTCCTAGAGGAATTGTTTTGGGGGACAAAACAATAGGCCGTCTTTTCTTATGAAAAAAAAAATCCATTGTTCTGTCCCCCAGAACCATTTCTCTCGCGACTCAGTGCAAGGGGTCTACTTAGTCGCTGCCGTTCCATTTTCCAACACATCAACCTAAAAATAACACCTTCTTAGTACCGGTCAGCCAATCAGATCACTTGAAATTAAAGGGGATTACCAGAGCCAAATATTTGGCTAATGAGTAGGGTCTGGGAACGATAATGTATCAATCCCAGAAGAAGAAAAATGAGGATTCTTGTTTTATCTTCAAAAGTGCTGGGTGAAAGGGGCTTTCTGAGGCAACACCATCAAACACACCAATCTGATTGATGTATTCTGCACTATGATCGGGATACGTTTCAGCCATTTTGGGCTAATTCTCGCAGAGATATTTTGCATTCGATGATTTTGACTTTTTACTAAGATCCTATGAGGACGTCATCATTCAACTTCTCGGCAACGAAAAGAGATATCGAAGAWTGGTAAGCACAATTCTTATATTTAATGAGGGCTTTCAAATCACGAAGGCATCCTGTAGAGGTTAGGTGTACTTTAATGGAGCTCATAGAGTGATGGTGGAAAAAACTACATTAAACAACTTTCAAGTGAATGTTTCATTGTTTACTGCAATTTACTCTTAAGTTACATATTTCATTCAGTGCATACTAAAAGATTATTGGTATTCCTTGATAATCCTTAATAATCTGAACTTCTATGATTCCTATCATTCTTTACTTGGTGCAAGATCTTTGTACGGGATTTCAGGCTCATCTTCAGGCGCATCGCGCTTTCCGTGGCAATTAACCCAGTAACATCGCTTCCAGCAAGTAAAGTGACAGGAAGGATTACATCTCATGCCGCAATACTTATGACAAGACTTGTGGCAACCGGTTGGGCTTTTGCGGCGACGTCGTCGTCGTCTCCAGCCCTCGGCGTCGGGCATCAAGATCACAAAGATCAAACAAAGTAGCAAAAGGAACTTGAAATTCATGGTGTTGATCTGGAAAATAATTTTTACAAGTTGTACAGATAGATGAATCGCAATCATCCACATCAAAAGATGAATAACAGCGAAAAAAGGACGAAAGTTTTCAGGTTACATAACTTTAGAAAGTTATACATGAGATAAAACTTGTACTGCATTAAAGACCTTTAGCATCAGGTTTACTGTTAAGTGCTACGGATGAGGCGAAGGAACATGCCCGCAAACATGAAATTCAATGCTCTAATAGCAACAACTTCGTTATGGCACCTTGCTAAATGTTTGGAAAGTTTGACGTAAAACGCCTGGCTTCGAACTGCAGTTTGAGGTTTGCGGTACACCTAGCAAGACCGTCGTGCTGAAGGTCTATTCATCGCAAATTAAACTCGAATTGCAATCAAAACATATACTTACGAATGGTTATAGCTTGGTTTTCTTTCTTCCTTTGTATATTCGGCTTCAGCAAAGTCAAACGGTGCTATCACTGAGAGAGTATGCAACTGAGCTACTAAGCCTATAACAAGCAGCTCTATATATCCTCTTCTTTTGTTTAGATAGGTGGTCAAACTTACCATCAAGACCACCACGTCCAGAAGTGTTAACATAACGAACAGGGACACTGAACATGTCGTAACTTGTTCCTTAATCAATTATTTAACAAATAGGCTAATTTCTTAAATTGTGTAAATGTATTATTTGGTTACCTATTAGAGGAACTAAACTGAACTAAACTGAAGGGTAAAAGTCAGCTTTTTGTTATCTTTTAGAGAGTTAAATTTAAAATCTAGGAATTCCGCATTTCTTATCTCTTAGGGTAACGAAAAAAGGAAGAACCGATCGCTTTTTGTATTTTTTTAAATTTGCATTTGATAAATCGGCGCACATCTTTAATGACATCTGCCCCAAACCGACACACTTGCTGTGTCTAATGCATTACACAAGAATGGTTAGTTAAAAACATGCATATTGTGTATTTTGTAAATTCCCTTTTTTATTCATGAGTTAGCCTTGCTCTGACTTAGATCAGCTCAGAGGTTGTTTCAGGATTCAATGTATGAGTTATCCGTACCCTGACTTAGATCAGCTCAGAGGTTGTTTCAGGGTTCAGTATCTGTAAGTTATCCGTATGCCCTAACGTACATCACCCTAGGAGTTGTTTCAGGGTGCAATCTATGACTTAGCCGTACCCTGACTTAGATCAGCCCAGAGGTTGTTTCAGGGTTTAATCTGTGAGTTAGCCATGCCCTGACTTAGATCAGCCCAGAGGTTGTTTCAGGGTTTGATCTGTGAGTTAGCAGTGCCCTGACTTAGATCAGCCCAGAGGTTGTTTCAGGGTTCAATCTGTGAGTTAGCCATGCCCTGACTTAGATCAGCCCAGAGGTTGTTTAAAATATAAATTAATTGTAAAGTGCCCTTCTTCTTTGTCGAGTTGAACTTACTCTATTATACTGAATCACTCGTTTGATGAATAAACCCGGCACTTGTGATGAATGACGGAAGGTTTTTGTTCAATGGCTCTTGTAGCTTAGGCATTATTCACTTAACAAGCACTTGGACTTGATAGTATTAATGGGTTAACAAACAGAAGAAACAAATAAGCTTGAAGTACTTCAACTTAAAACAACCTCTATCTCTGGGTTAACAAATCTTAGAAGTCATGGCACGGCTATCTCGTATATCGAATTGGAAATTAGCTTATATTAAGGGATGAATATATGTAGCGCCATTTCCAGGAGCTTACAATCATGAATGATTTGTTAGTATGTTAGTATTATGCCTCCAGATTGGGATAGGCTGTTGAACCGGGAGACAATCTCCTACTCTTCACGAATAATTCAACAGGTTTTGCAGAGGTCGAGTAGTAGAACCGATGAACCTCGGGCTTATTTACTTACGAAGCACTTAAATTAAATAGTATAATAAATAGGCAAACGCAGAAAAGCAAATAAGCCCCAAAGTACGTCAACCTAGTAAAACAATTCAACCTCCTGGTTGAGAAATCTTAGAAGCTAGTCAGGGCGCAGCTATCTCGTATTATCGAATTTAAATATAGCTTTTTTGGCTTTGCAGAAAGAGAGAAACCAACTACCTTCGAAAAAAGAACCTTAACTAACTTGTTGGTCTTTGCAATAATGGATTTAAGGGACTGAGAGAAATGACATACTCTACTAGTGATGTCGAGTCCACTGAGGACTTTAATTAAGTCGAGCCATATAAAAGAGAGAAGATATAAATAAGATTCATTCTAAGTTAGAGGTCCGTGGGAATACAGAACTGAATTCCTCGTTCTGTTATCACATTTATAAACTTTAATTCCAAATAGAAAAATGCAAGATACCTTTGATTCCGGGGGGTGGAGGTACTCGCACACAACGAAAAGCGGGGGTGATCGTCGTATCTTTTAGAAGTTGAAATCGTAAGCCATTTCCTCTTTAATTTAGTAGTGAAAAAGCAAAAGTTGTTGGGTTTAAGCACCTCTTGAAAAACAAATTACGATAGTTTATTTTGTGTTTCAAAGTGGTATTGCTTTACGTTTTTTTTAGTAAATTATTTATTTTATTTGATAAAATTACTCGATGCATCACTGGATAAATTAGTTACTTCGATTCAGTCTCGAATATTAGCTTGGATTTGGTGACTAACTGAAATTTTTGCCGTAATTGAACTTAAGATTCAGAACCGTGCTACTCCTTAAACTCCTTGAAAACTCCTTGAATTTTTGCTTTGATCATTACTTGTATGGTTCTGAAATAGATCTAGTCAAAAAGATTGGAAAATCTGAAAGTCGGCCATGTGCAACCACCGTGTACAACCTTGGCATATTTAGCTGAACATACTCCTTGAAAATTCATTTTTAGGTCATCGTATACATCTTGAATAGTCTTTGAATTTTAAGTGGTTACCTCAGCACGAACCCTGACTTGATTAAATGAGCCTGCTCAACTAGAAACCGTGGACAGTTGTTTTGATTTCCGAGCCCATCCCACACGGCTTACCGCCTCATTTCTTATATAAATTTAATAACCGAGCTTTCGGCCAGTAAGCGAATTTTTTAAGCCATTAAAAGCGCCTATTATTGGAAGTGACGTCTATTGATAGCAACCTATGCTGCAAACTAAGACATTCCAAAATAGGCTTTTTGCAATACATTGATTGTTAATGGATGGCAGGAAAAAAAAACAACAACAACAACAAAAAAAAAAAAAAAAAAAAAAAATTGGCACTTCCTTTATTTAAATTTTTTTTTGCTGGAATACTAATGTCGTATCCAAAACCGGTTCAAAAATACTTTTTCCTCTTATAAGATACTTTCGATTTCAAGATACGAAGCAATTTAAAGTTTGTTTGCCATCCAGCAGAGCCTTCCCCAGGGGACCTTGAGCTGAATTGATTCGTTATCAAAGTCATATATATATCAGCAAGTTTGTTGCATTGTTTAATCAATCTTGGAAGAGCAAGGAAAAGCACATTTGGAAGCCAAGTTAACTGTTATTTTCATATTAAAAAAAAAAATCTTTGTACAAAAAACGTTCCTTTTTCCCTTTTTTAGAAACATGGTTTCCAAATGGTCGTGAGAGTAGCAAATGTACCAAGAGACCATGAAGGTCCTGGCTTCCTTCGTGCTCTCTTGAATGTATAGTCTCCCTCGCATCCGTTTTTAGTGTCGGTCGTCACGCAACGCTGCGTGACAACCGACACTAAAAACGGATGCGAGGGAGACTATTGAATGTACTAATAGAGCGTTTTCGCTCACGTGTCAAGGCAGTCATATTGGTGTACCAAACAATAGAAATTTTCTGCATAGTTTTTGCATAAAAATAGAGTTCAATTCCCCGAGGATAGAAAATGTATTTCTTTGAGTACACCAACATGGCCGCTGTGACACTAGAGAAAACCGTTTGCGCATGCGTGCCTTTCAGCACTTTTTAAAGAATTTAGAAGAGTTTGAGGAAGAAAATAAATGTTTTTTCCGAGTATACAAAACATTTCGCGAGTATACTTTTGTGAGACCAAGATACTCTATTAACACAATATGAAAGAATCAGCCTTAAGTTTCAAGCATGGACACTAAGTTTTGGCATTTTGTGAAGTCCAATTTATCAGGCATGTTTGAAAGTTAAATTTACATATGTTTTGACTAATTTGTATACGGATTCAGAGCATGCGCAGACGTGAAAACTCTCTTATAAACGTAGGGAATACACTTCAGTTTGCATACTTGTAGTTTTATTATACGATTGCTTTTCTCCGGTAATACAAGTATAAGGAAAATCTGAGTCTATATATATATATATATATTTATTTATGGTATATACAAGAAATTAATAAAAGAATACAAATTCATTATTGTAATATTGGTTTCCTTTTCCAGAAAGGAAGAATTCATACCTTGGAACTGTAAAGCGTTGTGATTGGCCCAAAAATAATTGGAAGCCATTTCAATGTTAAGACCAATGTACAAGAAAACGTTTTAATTACAAGGAAAACTTATTCGTGTAGATGTAGGAAAATGGTCATTTTTTCCTTACCGAATGAATAAAAAATAAAAAGCTGGAATGCTAGGTTTTTCCTTGACTAGGAAAATTGTCAAGACCCAAATTTGTTCGTGTATTAGCCATTTCAGGGTCGAGTATAATAATGGGTCGAGGTGGCGTAACAGTGCATTGTGAGAATACTTAAGGGACGAAATAGACGCCATCTTGGAAGTATGTCCAAGAACAGTTACTGGAAGCACGGGTGGCGTAGCGTTGTGAGCGCTCGCCTCTTATCAATGCGACCCGAATTCGAGTCCCCTCCGCAAAAATCAACTTCTAAATTTCAATTCGATCACGGAATGAGGTGAAAAAAGAACGTTATTGTTAGTCCCATAATGCACTGTAACTCGACCCAGTTTTTCCTCAAACTCTGAACGGCTAATATAACAACGAGGAAAACGTTGCAAAGTGATTGTCTTTTCACAAGCCCAATTCTGTAAATGAAAATTGCTCAAGACGAGATTGGAATCAATTTTTGCTCCGCTGATTGACAGACATTGCGAGTACAACCGAAACTTGTTAAGGAAAACGTGTTCATCATTTACACGAGCAAGAAAATCTTAATAGAAAATTGTCAAAGAGAACTTGATGACCATTTTATCCAAATTTCCTACAATCTTTTTTTTCTTTCGTTATCAAAAAAATAAGATATACAGTATGTGCAACCTTGTGACTCAAAATCCCTTGAAATATAAATGACAATGGAACAGCCGCCATGTTGGTTGATCTAACAAGAGTAGGTAATAAGGAATGCTGTGTTATCGTCAACCAAGATAGTGGCTATGACGTAACATGCACATGCTCTATTGTATTACTGTTGGCATGCACCAGGGCCCGGTTGTACGAAGCCTGGATAGCGCTATCGGCGACGAATATGAGATGACGAATATACATTATCCAGTGGATAAATTTATTGGACAACAGCATCGACTTATCCACTGGATAAGGATTTATCTGCCGGATAGCGCTATCCACCCTTCGTACAACCGGGCCAGGGTGATTAGAAATCTAGGCGCTGTTTGTCAGCGAAAACTTTTAAGTATTTTCTATTATTTCTTGTCAAAACGAAATATTTCCCACTAAGGCCCCGTCCACACGTATCCGCAAATTTTTGTATCCGCAATTTTTTATTTTCGGATACGGGTTGCGTCCACACGTGTCCGCAAATTTTTGTGTCCGTATCCGCACATTTTACGAAAACGGATACGTGTGGACGGTGAAAACGATTCGAATACGCTGCGTGTGGACGAAAACATTTTCGTATCCGCAAAAAATAATTTGCGGATACGAAAATTTCCGGATACGTGTGGACGGGGCCTAAGAACGCTGAAATATGCTATTTTACAAAAAAAA